AAAAAAAAAAAAAAAAAAAAAAAAAAAGAAAAAAAATTAAAGGTTTAGCTCTCATTGCTAATCCAGATGTACGTACATGAGATTAAAAGTGCAAGAAAGTAGGCCTCTGGCTGCCAGGCAAGGCAGAGCAGCTACTGTTTATTTCTGATTATGGAACAGGGTATAGATAAAAATCAATAATAATATACCTCATTTTAGCCAATCTGTATACAATCTGGTTTATAGTGGACACCTGGTTCTTATTTCAAACTGTAGTATAGGTACCAAAAAGCAGAGTGCCAGAAAAGGAGAGTGCAAAGTGATTCCTTTCAGAAGCTCAGGCACTTACTGAAAACTTAAGGGAAGGATTTGAGATTCTAAAATGACTAATAATTGCATAGGTGGCAATTACAACCTAAAGAACCCATCAACAGGAAAAATGAACATAGTTCTCCTTTTTTAAAGTTTCTTCAAAATAGAAAGGTCATAGGACACATCACAACAATGCAGCATACCGAATTTCCTTATTTATTAAAGAACAGAAATAAATTTTGCTTAAATTTTAAAGAATGACATTAAGACTTAGTTTATCTTTCCACTGAATAAAATTGAGAAAAAAGCTGGCTTTCAGATCATATATTTATTTAAAAAAATAAAATGGATCAACAAAGTTACCACATTATTCTGCATGCTAACAGGATTTCCCAAGCCCATGAGAGATACCATTTCTTGAACAATAAAAAAATGACTTCTTCAACAATGTAAAGATAGGAAACCTTTCAATCCAACTTCAAGGTCTTTATCACTAGTTCCACCTCACAAGCTAGTGGGATGTATCTGTGTCACAGCTGAACCCCTTAGTAAAGAAAGCTTGAGAAGACACTAAACAAGGATGTTACTAAAGATGATGATTGGTTAAAATTATAAAGCAACCATCTTTTGGCCTGCAAACAGTCTACATTAGAAATCTCCACCACTGAGGATCTGCTCCCCATGACAATATTATTCTGAATCCAGGAGAATTACAAACACATGGCATCTTTTTCCTGCATGCTTTCTTGGCCCAAACCCTGTATGACAACATGTACAATTTACAGGACGGGTCCCATTCTCACACAGGATAGGTAGGGAGTGTTATCAATAATAAAGAACAAAAGTTATACAACATTGATTATTATAAATTATATTTGTTCATATCCACCCCCATTCTCAATATGTTCGGATTCCTTCCTGCAGAAAACATGAGTTTCCTATATAACACCAATTACATCATTAATGATGATTAGAATGAGCTGTAGAGACCTTGATTCTGAAGACATGTATGTGCAGGTGAGATGCAATCTGATTGCAAACACTGACACAATAGCGGATCAAATCAAAGAAAGAGAAGACCTGGAAAGAAAAGAGATGATTAGATTCTTAGCACCTGCTTAGGCCCTCCCTAAGATTCCTGAAAGTGAAGAGTGGCCTCTGACTTTCTTCTCTCTCCAGATTCACCTTCAATTCTATACAATTTAATAACTCAATTACTTCATGATCTTTCCTTTACACTATGGATCAACAAACTCTTTCTTAGAGACAGTAAATATTTTAAGCTTTGTGGCCCATACTGTCTTTGTCACAGCTGCTCAACTCTGCCATTGTATTAATAGCATGAAAGCAGCCACAGACAATACATAAATGAATGGCCACAGCATGTTCCAATAAAACCTTATTTATCAAAACCCTGTGAGCCCACAGGGTGTAGTTTGCTGACCCATACTTTACACAGTTAGAAATTTTGAATTTATGAGTCCTGCCCGATGTAGGCAAGACTAAAAAGAACAAAGCAAAAATGGCTCAAAAGTGAAGCTACAAAGAACTCTCTGAAAGGCCCATATGCAGATTTCTGACAGTCTAAAATATTACAATTACATGATCTATCTCTCAGGACTGGGCCACCGAAACAAGAAAACAGGTAGCCTCCAAATCATGAAATAAGACACAATACAATACCTACCAGGGCAATCCAAAGCACAATATATTCATCAATAAAGCTGTTAAAATACTGGTCCAGAAACAAAAGTGCTGGACCTATGAATGCTGTGTCGTGCAAATGCATTTCACTTTTCGTCATGTGTGCAACCTATGAATAAAACAGAATAAAGCTGAATGTTCAACTTAAGGTTGAGAATGAAAAGTGCAGATAAACTGAACAACAAAATTAAACAGTAGATAAGAGGGTGAAAAGTTAGAGGGTTAAAGAACTGGTAACCTCAAATTGTAGCTTCACAAAATA